GGGTGGGAAAGGCTTGCCAGCCATGTGACTGGGTGGGAAAGGCTTGCCAGCCATGTGACTGGGTGGGTGTGGCTAACTTGCAAAATTGCTTGCTTAGCACCCAAAATGTGGCTCAGGAACTCTGGCATTTGAAGTCCACAAGTCTTAAAGCTGTCAAGTTACAAGTTACAAGATCCTTCCATCCCTAACCCTTTAGAAAAAAAAACCCAGGGGTGTTCAAACTTGACAGCTTTAAGACTTGTGGACTTCAACTCCCAGAATTCCTCCTCTCACTCTTCATCTTGATGATGTGCGGATGAGCGGTGGGGGGGAGGGAGCTGGAACCGGTTCTAAAGGGCACTGTAGATTTGTGGAACCTCTTCTATAGAAGAGCTTAGAACTGGCAGGAACCCACCCCTGGTTCCCTCCCAGCCTTATGATTTTATGTACAGCTAATCTTCGACTTATGACCGCAGCTGAGCCCCAAATTTCTATTGCTAAGCAAGGCAATTGCTAAAAGAGCTTTGCCCTATTCTACGACCTTTCTTGTCGCAGTTATTAAGTGAATCAGTGCATTTGCCAGGTTACGGAGTTGTAAGTGAATCTGGCTTCCCCCATTGATTCTGCTTGTCAGAAGGCTGCAAAAAACAAACAAACAAAAAAAACCACGATTATGTGACCCCGGGACACTGCAATTGTCATAAATGTAAGTCAGTTACCAAGCATTCGAATTTTGCAAAGGCTTATTAAAAGATGTTGTTGTTGTTGTTGTTGATATTGGCACTAGTGAAAGGTGACTCTAAACATACCCGCAGCTTTCACTAAGTTTCCCCTCTTCCTCTGGCCAGCCAGCTGTGGGACTGTCCTTGGGTTCCCACAGGATAAGCTTTATTGTTTTCACTACAAAAAGCATCCAACTACCTACCGTATTTTTTGGAGTTATAAGATGCACCTTTTTCGCCAAAAGAAGAGGGTGAAAATCTGGGTGCGTCTTACATACTGAATACAGCATTTTTGGCCTCCTGACCCCCCCCCCCCTTTTGCAAAAATGGACATGCAGATGTTTTGGGAGGCCTGCAAAGTGCTCCTGGGGGCTGGGGAGGGCAAAATGAGCTAAAAATGTGCCCCCCCACAGCCCCCAGGAGCACTCTAAGACCCTCCCAAAGCTCTGCATGCCTTTTTTTTTTTGCTTAGCCACTGCTGAGAAACACTGCATTTGTAGCCTCCTTACTATCTTGAATAGCCGAGGCTAAACGTATGGGTATAGGTTCTCCTACTTGAGCAGGGGGCTAGACTAGAAGACCTCTAGGGGTCCATTGGGCCATTTTTTGCTCGTTTTTGCCCCCCCAGCCCCCAGGAGCATTCTACAAACCTCCCAAAGCATATGCAAATGTTTTTTTTTTTGCCTCCCCCAGCCCCCCCCAGGAGCACTTTGCAGGCCTCTCAAACTCTCTGCATGCCCCGTTTTTCACAAAAAAAAATGAGGCGTGCAGAAGTTTTGGGAGGCCTGCAGAGTGTGCAAAACCTTTTTTTTAAATTTACCTCTTCNTTAGGGTTAGGTTTAGTTTTACAGCGCGCTTCTGTCGCTGCGCTGTTGTTGATGCGATTCAGCACTCATTCATTGGAGCGCTTTAGAACTCGTGGTTTTGTCACCGCAGTTTAGTCGGGCGCGTTTTTGTCGTTCGCCCTTTTGTCGGTGAACCAAGCTTGAGAACTTTGACACAGGAGAGGCAAAATTTCTCTCTGGCTCTCCTTTTACATGTTTTTCATTGGACTGCAGAATGATGCTGAATCTAGCGGAACAGACCAACGGGGTGATTGTCACCAACGACCAGTTCCGGGACCTTGCCAAAGAATCCAAGAGATGGATCAAGATCATCAAAGAGAGGTGAAGGAGGATTCTTAAATTTGGGAGCTCAGTGGGGTGGAGAAAGAGGCAATCACCCCCCTTTTTAAAGGACTTTCTTGAAAGGGATTTGAAGGGGATTTGAAGGGAGGGAAAACATGGCCCCTTTATGACGTGTGGACTTCAACACCCAGAATTCCTGAACCAGCATGCCAGTTCAGGAATTCTGGGAGTTGAAGTCCACACATCATAAAGGGGCCATCTTTCCACAAACCCTGTTCTAGACAGGTTTTCCCTTTCTTGAATGAGGTGGGAAGAAATAGAGTCGAGACTCGGTTGAGGGAGTCAAGGAAGCTGAAGATTTGTCCTCCAGAGTCAGTTATGAAGAAAGGGGCATTTGACATGGGACTATGGCTATCTGGTGTGGTCTGGGGGAAATGACACATTTCAATGCCTTCCCACTAATCCGCCTGCCACCCATTGAGGACTGAAGATGTTAACAAGGACAGTTCCAGGAAGTCCTTTATTTCTACATTTGAAATTTCCAAGATTTTTGGGTGGGAGTTTCTTCTGAGAAGTGATGGAAACCACAGACAGACAGTTTAGTTTTGATCTGTGTTTCTCCTGAGAGGCCTTAATGGAGAAAAAAACAATTAATAAAGCAACTCGCTTCCTGCTCTGGAATTGTGGGTACTTCACCACTGGAGGTTTCTAAAAATAGACTGGACTGGGTAATCAGTTGATATAAGGTATATTGGTATAATATATAAGGTATATTGGTATAAGGCCGTGATGGTAAACCTGAGGGCACCTGAGCCGTTGCCCAGCTCTGCTTTACCAGGCATGCGCGTAGGGTCTCCCGCCGGCCAGCTGATTTCGGGTCTCTGCCCGGGAGACACGCATGCATCAGCAATAGTTTTCTCTTACCTTTGTTACCGGTTTGGAACTGGGAGTGTGTGCTTCTGCGCATGTGCTGAGAGTCCGTGTTGATGTCTGGGCAGGTGGGCGGAGCCTCCCGCTGGCACCACTACTGGTTTGCCCGAACTGTGGCGAACCAGCAGAATACCGCGTATGCATGCACAGGGGGCAGCACGCGAGGAGAAAAAGGTTAGCCGTCACTGGTAAAAGGCCTCCTATTTTGAGCAGTGGGTTGGACTAGAAGACCTCTGGGTTCCCTCCAGTGGTGGGTTTCAATTTTTTTTAGAACCTCTTCTGTAGGTGTGGCCTGCCTTGTGAGAGTGGCTTGCTGGCCATGTGACTGGGTGGGAGTGGCTTGGCAGTCATGTGACTCAATGGGCGTGGCCAACTTGTAAAATGTGGTGAAACGCTCTTTCTTAGCAACCAAAACGTTGGCTCAGAAACTCTGGCATTTAAA